AGCCATACAGAGGAAAGGAAAACTGGAGCCTTTCAAAAATCTGAATTATAAACGGTTTCAACCTGATCATTTTCAACAGGGAGAAAGTTAAAGGTTGTAAATGTACTGCTCTGGATATTCATCCTATTTTGACCCATTATTCCAAGAGTTTCAGAAAGACATATGAGACCAAGCAGAACATATACAGTGTTTATAAATCAAAGATCTGGCAATAAAAACATTTCACACTACAGCAACATTTAATAATCAAGATATTACAGCACCAGAGCATATGGTTTAGAAAAAGCAAAATTTATTTAGTCCTTTATGAAAACTTTATATTTCTGGAATATAAACATTTTTCTTAATGAAAGGAAATAAACTGCTCACAATGTCAGAGGAGCATTCGTGTCATATAACCAACACTCACACAAGAGCTTATATGGGACAGGCCCTCAATAAATGCTGCAAAATATGTACTTTAGAAATGAGAAAATCAAAATACTCATTTTAAAAGGTGAGGAAGAGAATTCAAATTCTATTTAACAATGCAAGGGAGAAAATCTTAAATAGTATTTTCTTTAAGATCATATATTATGATAACGTGTACCATTTATATTTTTGAAAAATTATACCAGATGCAAATCAGAGGAAAGCTATAATCTGTCACGGAACACAGACGCCTGCAAATGGCACTGCGGTATTTCTCCGTGAAGAAAGCACACTCGTGCTCGAGACATGCTAACTATGGAAACAGTGCTTCCACCTGCTGGGTCTTTCTTCTGGCTCGCCTTTCCTTGTTCCTAGAAGTTTGTCAGATCATAAGAAAGGCACTTGCTGTGCGGCCTCAGTCACAGGAAAGCTCAGTACCATACAAATGCGTTATGAAGACAGGATTTTAAAGAATGGCTTCACCAACATTTCGCTGCATGCTTATGATCCTGAGCAGAACCATGATGCCAAAGCTTGGTAAGATGGTTCATAAGACGTTCTTGACATGTGAGGGCACCACTGCTACTTCCACAGCAGTATGCAACAGGGGCCAGGGCTGGCACTCATTGGCCACGTGCTGTCCCTTGTGCATCTGCAAAACCTGCTCTCCCCCTCAGAATGGCACCCCTGGGAAACTGGAAATCCAGGGACTGAAGAAAATCAAAACATTACGTTCCTTCATCCTCTCAGGGATAAGAAGATAAGAGTAAGTCCTGGGAAAGCAACCAAGTGCCACTCTATGTCACACAGCACAAGCTTCAGGAGACACTTGTCACATCAATAATGGAAAATAAGGATAACTGCAGGATCTTAGAATCAAATGCAGCACTTAAAATTCCATTACAAGAATGGCTGGCACACCTGCATCTTTAGGTCAAGTGCCCCTTAAAGGCAACCCTCCCTGCCGCTCACACTGTTGTATCCCCACTGTGCTACCAGCTGGCAGCAGCAGACCTGGAACAAGGACGGAAGAAAGGAAGAAAGGAAGGAAGGAAGGAAGGAAGGGAGGGAGGGAGGGAGGGAGGGAGGGAGGGAGGGAAGGGGCACAGCTCCTCAGATGCATCCCATGGGCCACAGTCCACCCACCCGTGCACACACTGACCTATGTCTCGGGAATAACTTTTTGGACAGAATACTGAGGCCAGATTTCAGAAAGATGTTTTTAAAAACATGAGGCTGATAGTATCAGCCCAAAGGATCTCTCCAGGCCCAGGAGACAAGGACGGAGACAGCCCTTCGGGCTGTGAGGGCTCCCATGGTTCCAGGTGCTCATGCTCCCAGAGGCCACAGGAGAGGACCCTGAGGGCGGCAGGCTCTGGGCTGCCTTCTTGTAGGCCCTTCCAGGCTAACGGGTAATGCTGCTGAGAGACATGACACACAAGAATACACTGCTTAGGATGGAAACTGATATGTGAAGGAGATTACAGCAGAAGCGTGGGGTGCTAGCCAGGTGGAGAAGCTGCCAGAGCTTCTCATACAAATGCAAAAGGGTACCCATGTTCCTTCAAGGAAACATTAATTCATGTGCTATTTGCCCAGAAGATACAGAAAATAATTTCATAGAAAATAAAAAAGAAAATAAACATTGAAAATCCAGAATATTCATAAAGAGTCAGATACTGATACCAGCTGTGAAGAAATCAAATGGCTTCGCTTACTCTTCCCTGCAAAGCATGTAAACCGACAACATTGCACATTTTAGGCAACTCCTAATTTTCCCCCGATTTACCCATTTGTCCTGCTTTGAGCCCAGACAGTTGATGACTGTTAGAGTCAAATCCACGGAAGGTATTACTCGTGTATCTCACATTCAGGTCGGCAACACATTTCTTCAAACGGAGTCGCTAACGAGACACTGGAAAAAGTTATGTAACTACGCATTGGGCAGATTAAGTTCCACGTTTCAATTATTTTTGTCTCTTCTAGCTCCCTAGACAACCTGTTGACATCACCTGTTTCCAGCATTAACATTTTCAAGTGACATATAAAATGGGATCATGAAGAATGTCAACCTTAAAGAAATGGGTCAGACATAGTGACTTCCATACAGGAGTCATGAGGGCATGAGCCATGTGTCCACTGCCTCCAGCCAGAGCTCGGACGCCCCTTGTGGTGAGTCTTAACCTGGGCACATCACTTAAGCACTGAGTCTCAATTTCATTCTTTATAAAGGAGAACAACCAAACTACTTCTCTAGAGCTGTTCCAAGGATTTAAATATTACATTCTGTAAGTATCTTTTAAGAGATACACTCATAAAGATAAAAGCCACTCCATTATGTAGCATCTAAGCCTGTAAGAACTGGTACAGTTACTGTATATGCATGGCACAGGTCTTATTTCTACAGCTACACTTAAAGCATGCAAGGAGGATTTAGTGAGATTCAGATATAAGTTGGAAAATGTGGTGTTACAGACAGGATGTACTGCTTGATTCCTGAAATGTACTAACGTGAAAAATGCCATTTATGGATCTTAAAAATGCCAAGGCCACTTGCAAATGAGGATTATTAACATGCCTAGAAATCACACAATTCAAATAATCTGCCTGGTTTTCAACATACAATTTTTCTAAAATGAAAATTTTTACAGCCTTTCAAAAATCAACAAAGAAATGCCCAACCAAGTTTACAATGTAAGTTGACTATTTCTTTAAAGAACAATGTTTTAGAAAGCAGATTTAACAAGTTATCTCAGAAACTATTAAAGTGTTTTTAGAGGCATCATGGCACATTTTCCCCAAGTTAGCTAGGTTGGAAAAACAATTTTAACAGAATTATCAGAGAATTTTCTGTCACTTTATTTAAAATCCGTAACAGAGGCTCAGACATAGGTGAACACAGTCATGATGGCTTCTACCACAGTCAAGATCTGTGTTTCCCAAACTGCTTTGTTTCTGGGAGATGAGAGGGGTTCTACAACACGTAATTTCAGGACATGTTGGGTGCAATATTTCTTGGAGAAATAAAAACTCTGATGAAGTCTGCCATAAACACTCTCGCTTAATCTTAATTCAGCATTTCTGAAACGCATTTGAGTGCTGATTTTTTTTTCTTTTACAAATCATTATTAACATCTTTTGGTTTTGTGGCTAACATTTTGAGAAGTGCTAGATCAACTTATAATCTATTTTGATAACCACATACACGAAACTGGTTATTATTTCCATATGGAGGAGGGAATAAGAAAAACATGAATATAATGAAATGACTCATATTTAACACCAATCCAGCACTTCTCGACCTAAAGGACTCCAAGAATGTGCCTGTAGATACTCAGTGTCTACCCACCAAGTGCTGAAAAATCCTGCAGCAACCATTTCACTCAGCGGTTGCTGTGCACCATGTGGCTGGAAACCCCGGAAGGCACCGGGACCCCAAAGCAACACTCACTCAGAGGTGTGATCCAGAGAAGCCTGGTACACGTGTGTTCACATGAGCACAAAAGTTAAAATTTTAGAGATGTCTGAGAACCCTGCTCCTTCTCCACCCCAAATATGCACGTATCTCTAGAGAACTACAGAGTTTCGTTTAAGAAACACAGATCCAATCCAGTAGTACCATTTCATAGACGACGACTTGCCACATCAGGAAGACAGTGGTGATCAACCCCTGCGGCTCCAAGTATCGACTCACGACTGCCATGCTCGGCTGTCAGACACCCTTCTGGGGCCTTATCTGACGACACACAACTAACTGCTTCAGGAACAATGCAGTGTCCACTGTCCAGTCCAGGCACCGGCGTGGTGTGCATGCATGCATGTCTATGTCCACCTGTACCAAAAGCCTAAAGACAGTTTATCAGAACAGAACATCTGTCCATCTGGCCAGTGATCTAGGACATTTACAGGAAAATTCACCATCTTTCTAAAATCTGCATCTAGAGTCAAATGAAAATCAAGTAACATTCACGGTTGAGCAAAATATGACTACACTTAAAGAAAAATGATTTAATAAGATCTCTCCAAAAGTCATTTTGTTATTTATGGCTCTAGGAGTCTAATTTCTTTCTCTTAGGAAAAGAAAACTCCCATCTCGTGCTGAGAGAGCTCTCTGCATTTACTGACTGCACCTTGTCCAAACACTATACCTGCCACCAAGAACTTCTTTTCCTTCCCCTTTATTTTGTTTCATTATTCTCTTCTTGGCTGGACAAGAACTTTATTAAACAAAAGTTAAAAAGCAGCCTTAGTCTAAATAAAAAAATTTTTAATTGCGCTTTTTCTCATGTACGCACACACAAAAAAATAATGCTTCTTTCTTAAGACAAACTGACCAGTGACTGAAAACTTTTTAAGTAAAGGGAACTAGATGAAATAAGAAATGTAAAAGGAGCGACTTGGTCCTGTCCAGAACACAGCTATCTTAAGGAAGTGCAAGCGTGCTTTTCTATCAGGACAGGCAGAAGTGATCTATCTGTCACCTGCCTGCCTCTAGAAGACGTTCTGTTCAGGTAGAGCAGCCAAATCATACTAACCTGCAAACTATGCTATTCCCCTCCCCCATGTGACAGATATTAAAAGCCACGGGCTAGCAAATGCAAAATTTATTTTTACTGTACATAACAGATTTTTTTATAAAACAAACACTTCATTGCCATATGCAACCACAAACAATAATATGCATACTGTACAATACAATGCAACATTCAGATATACATCCAATTGAGTTTTTCAAATGGTAGTCACCTACTAAAAATGGCTTTTCCCATTCACAGATAAAGAACACAGTTAAATAGATTTTTTTCAAGATCTTATACCACTATATACACATTACTGTGTTTTGGCAATTTTATGCAAAACACAATTAATATAGCTTATTATATACTTGTGGCAAGTGTTACTTCAAAGGGAACACCCTTGAGGCCATTTGCAAAGGCCTGGTGATGGCTTAAACCTACCTTCTAGTTCAGACTCTTCATCCTTTCATTAGAATACTAACTGTACACATAGATATTAGAGAATTGCATGAACAGAAGATACCATTATCCGCATGACTGAAGTCCCACAAAAGTAGAAACACTGGCCCTCTGGATGCCATATCACCACTGCCACAAGAGAACTGTCTTTTCGGGCCTGTGGTACTAATATTTCTTATCCAGGTCACAAAAGCTAATGGTGTTAGACATTCAAAACAAATGCAAACAAAGAAGAGGTCAGGTTATTATTATGCAGTGTGATCTTGGCATCAACAAAAAACATGGTCAAAATGCCTTGAACTGGTACAAAACGGAATGATGGGAAACCGCCAAAGCTCTGGTGTACAGAGTATCAGTGACAATGTCCTGGTAAGATAACCAAATGATACTTGGTATTAAAGGAAAACCCAAGTGCAGCAACTGTGAGTGTCATGGTCTACACAGCCACGACATGGGCAACCTCTGAGAGAAGCCAAGGCAGCTAAGCCAATGCGCTAAGTCATCTCGAGGCAAACAGAAAGGCGCTCCCTGACACGGAGGACCACTGTATGTGACACAAACCAAAATCACTTCTAAATCCACTCACAGTAAGTACAGAAACTTTGTGGTTATCTTATTTCTCCAAAAATTCCTTTTACTAACTGGCTGAACGTATATAAACCCCATCTCTGCTGGAGAGTTAACACTGGGATTTGATTAATTCTACAAGACTGCTCCTCAACTTCCTTATTTTTATTAATTGGCATAAAAATACAAAATCTTCTGTGGCATGAGCAGTTCAGTAGCTACTTTGGAACAGGCCAATATTTGGAATTAACAGCTGCCCTGATGCCTCCTGTGCCATCAGCTTTGTCCATTCTGAATGAAGCCACCCAACTTTCTAAACAAGGTGCTACTGCCAGGAGCTCCCCGGCAGCTCTGGGCTTGTGAGCGGCAGGACCTGGCTCCCAGGACAAGACTGATATTGCATCAGAGTTCACGCTGCACACACAAGATCAGAACACTGAATACGTGGGTTTGGCGAAGGAGTGGGCGGTGGAGAAGAAAGAAATCACGGCCACCTGGAATTACAGCCACCCTAAAGAAGGAAAAAATGTTATTCTCAATTTATGATGGCACCTTGTTTTCTGAAGCTGATTTCAATGACTACTTCAGACACAGCTGTAAGGTTCCATTGTAACACCAAATAGAGCGTGCATGGAAAAGAACACAGTTGGCCCCTCAAGCAATGACTAGCTGTGGATTTGACACTGCAACTGAATGCAACAGGTCACATTCAGTTCCTTCTGAAGCAGAAACTGGTCTGAGTGAGGCCAGTGAAAACTCCTTACAACAAATCCCAGGAAAATGGGGGAGACTTTTTTTTAAGTGAGCAACATGGCAACCTAGTAAATCTCCAACAAACTTCAATATCCCATTATGATGAGGCGTTGCCATTTTACATCATGGGGTTGCTGTAAACGGAGTTTCACTGCAGCTGCTCGCTGAAAACAATGATGTGTCCATGGCTCTTCCAGACAACGTAAGTATGGATGTCGGGGGTGGGGGGGAGCCGGGGGCGGGGGGGGGACTGAAGCCACAGCACTTGACTTTTTAAGTATTCCAAATGCCTCTCCAGATACAGGCTAGTAGTCTACACTTGCAGAGGCTGAATGCTCCAGATTTCGGACTTTAAAGTTTTAGTATAGAGGTTTTACTGTAGAGTGGTACAGGCTTGCTAAGTGCCATATAACAAATCATTTCAATCCAGGCAAGTTTGGGGTGAAGCTGAGAGTGAACATCTGGGCCATGACAGTAAGTTCTGCCTTTGGAAAAGACAGCTCCCACTTCACGGCCACAACGCAGCACACGGAAGAGCACAGAGCCGTGAGGTGGAGACAAGCTCTGAACACACGTGACGCCCGCCCGTCTGTGCACCTGCTAAGGCCCAGAGCCCACACGCCGCTCTGCATGATTACCAGAACACAGCCCTTGGAACTGGGCTCACAGCACCTTTGCTGCATGTATTCTTCTCATCTCTCCACAACCATTTGATCAGTGTTCATCATACTTAAAAAATGTAGGTCCCTACAGATAAGGCCAGAGTCTCCTCCATGGTTCTGGCACTTAGATCACAAACCCGTGTGATTTCAGTACAAAATAAAAAAGTGTTCATACAGCTATATGCAGAAAGAAATCAAACAGTTGCTACACCGAGAATTAAAAAAAAAAAAAAACATTTGGAGCTGTAAAACAACAACTACCCATTACGAAGAGCACCCTCGGGTGTAGGCTCACATAAACACACCACCTCCCTCCAATAGTCATTCAAATGTATACTCTCATCGGCAGTTAAGCCTCCACAAAGTACAATGGGAAATATCAGGAACACTCTCAAAAGTTGTTAAAATATCACATAAAAGAGACAAGGAACAGCAAGAAAACATCTAAGAAAAGCAGGCTGCGATACAACAAGCATTTGTTAAGAAAGCTCAGAAGTGCATTAGTTCTGGTGAGAGATATATGAGCAACAGCTCTTACGAGATGTAGAACCCATTCTGTAACTATGGGCTGTCCATATACTGTCATAGTCAGAGTCTTCCGAGAGGTCTGAAGGCTCCAAACGGGAAAGGCTACTGCGGCGACCCAAGGAGTCTAGGCTTGGTTGGTCATCATCAGCCAAGACGTGATTATGCATCAGGTCAGTGCCTTGCCATGCTAAGACGGGCGGGCGGAGGGACAGGCGCGACAGGCAGGGGGTGAGGAGGAGAACGACAGGAAGAGCCACAACCAAAACATGGAACAAAAGCAAAAGGTGATGGGAAGAGAAGGAAAAGAGAAAACATTGTTAAAAATTGGCAACAATGCATATTTCTCCTTATATATGGCTGGGTTTCAACAACGAACGTTAGCAAAACCCTTAGAATAAAACTAGATCAATTATTATCTAATTAAACCTAACAGAAAATGCTTCAAAATTGCTCCCTTTTTAAAAAAAAAAAAAAAAAAGATATTGCTCTAAAGCCCTCCTTTAAGAAAATCTTTCACAAATTACACCCATGTCCAAAAGATGAGTCTATAGACATGTGGCAATTAACCGATTCTATTCCACATTCAATTAACAAATAGTCTCATTTAAGACATCATTTGCAAAAGGTACCATTTATGTGGCTAATTAAAAACCTATCAATAAACAGATGTATCAAATGCAAAATAATTTCAAAGGATTTTTTACGGGCTTCTTCAGCTGTCTCTTTGCCAAGACCATAAATCCCAGAGGGAGCCTGGACTTACCTGATCAATCGATAACCACTGTGAGAACTGAGAGGACAGAAAAGGCCTGGCCAGGGCCCACAGCCCCAGAACCCACCACCTGCTCCCAGGGCGCACTCGAGCTTAGCCCACAGGCAGGGTGCAGTGGGAAGCTGGGTCTGCTGGCCATGCCAGCCACCCCGATGCAGACCCTCTGCTGGCAGGAAGAGAGACATGAAGTGGAAATGCCCCGGTGTTAAAAGGAGAATGACAGAGGAAGTGGCACAGCATGGCAGGAGAGAAATATCACGTGTGGCTGGCAACTCTGAGCACTGCCCACGTCCAGGCCCCTGGGTTGAGAGGCAGGCCGGGCTGCCAGGGCCTCCCTCCATGCAGAGCCGGCGGGGGTCCCTTGCTGAGTGAAGGCAAACCTCAGCAGCCCCAGCCCCTCCCTGCTCCTGCTTCTCTCAAACTGACCTCTGTTCCCAGATTGCAAGAACTAAGTCCTAACAGGCTGTGAGGGCCATTACTTCCTGGAGTTAGAAATCAATACCAAGGAAGTTTGGTTTACAAAGTCTTCTTGGCATCCAAATGTGTGAACAGAGCTGCATTTTGGGTAAAATATATTATCCTTCTAAAAACCACCGTACTAAGCATTTAACATAAAAAGAGCTGCTTTCACTACAATCCCATTTCCAAACATCTTAAGTATAACACCTTTCCAGCACAAATGAGCAATTTCTCCTGTTACTCCCTAGTTTTGAGTGTAAGGTTTAAGGCCATATATGAAGATAAGTTCCCTGAACCCCCGAGTGGTTTGCCCAGAGTATGAATTAAAAACAAAAATCAATGTATCATTGAACACTTTTCTTGCACAGGAGAAATGGAAATACAGAATACAGGCAATGCGATAATAAGAAAAAAGTAATCGTGGGTCATTCCCCTTAGGCAGCCAGAGGCGGTGACGCCACAGCATGTCATAGGGTCCTGGGCAGAAGAAACCTGGCATGCACAATGACACATACAAAGCTCAACCCTCAGCCGGGCGCCTCAGTATCCATCAGGGATTGGTTTCAGGACTCCCCTCAGATACCAAAATCCTCAGACACTCCAGTCCCCAGTGTAAGATGGCATGGTGTTTGCATTTCACCTACACACAACTTCCCATACACTCTGAGTCATTTCCAGATTATTATAATGCCTAATAAAATGTAACTGCCACAGAAATAGCTGTTATAGCATATTTTTGTTTACTGTTACATTGTTACTTTTTATCGTTTCTTTTCTTCTGAGTATTTTTTGATCTGCAGTTGGTTGAATTTACAAACGCAGAACTCAGAGACACAAATGGCCAACTAAACCTGGTCTGTTCATCTGAAACTACTGGGTTAAAATTGTATTTCAAGTAACTGAAATTCAGATGACAAAGAAATCTCAAATTCAAAATCCAAAACGTTTACAGCCTATTACTCAAAACATGATCAATATCAAATTATGAAAATGTAATACTTTCATTACAACAATGTGTACTTACACATTATTGTGATTCTATACATATTTATTCCACATTTTGATAGGTTACTATTTGCATTTCTCTATTTCTCTCCTATTCTGATGAGTAGTCACTACAAATGGGTATTTTTCATCAAAGTATGGACCAAAAAACCAACAGTGTTGACCCTTGGCAAAAAGTCTTAATGTCATAGGCGGGACACAGTACAATACCAGCAAAATACTGGAAATGTTTTTTAAAAAGAGCAGCTTCTAGGTAATGGAGAGTCCATGAAGGACTGACCCTGCTTCCCTCTCCTCACAGCTGCATCTGTCTTTGCTGAAAGCTAAAGCAGCTGAGAAGCGCTCTTCCTTCTTTTTCCTTTTCTCCCTGTTAAACAATACTGACACTAATTGGAACCATCACACCACGGGCGATAAACAAAGTGAGATATGTGACCTGCCCACAGTCAAGCTGGAAAGGATGCCAAGGTCTAAAATTGAAAAGAAATCAGTTTCTATGCTGAGGTAATACAGAAATCATCCAGTTCTCAAAAGGACAACCTGTGGTATCTGAGGCCTCAGGACCATGTGCCCACATGTCAGCTGTCCCGGGCACACAGATGCCAGAAGAGTAAAGGATAGGCACGCTGCATCAGCTGCCATCCTGCTCCACTTCACTCCTAACACTGAAGGAAAATTTTAAAGAAAACAAAGCCACCTTAGGACCAGGCACTGTGTCTCACACTTGTAATCCCAGCATTCTGGGAGGCCAAGGCAGGTGGATCACCTGAGCTCAGGAGTTCGACACCAGCCTGGCCAAGAGAGTGAGACCCTATCTCTACTAAAACACAAAAAAATTAGCCAGGCATGATGGCAGGCACCTGTAATCCCAGTAACTTGGGAGGCTGAGACAGGAGAATCACTTGAACACAGGAGGCGAAGGTGGCAGTGGGCCAAGGTCATGCCATTGCACTCCAACCTGGGTGACAGAGAGAGACTCCGTCTCCAAACACAGAAAAAAGCCGCCTTCATAGAAACATGTTTTCATCAAAGACACCATACATCAGACACAGAGAAATCCTGCGGTTCTGAAATCTACCGAATAAATTTGTTGTAAATTTACAAAAAAATTTTTGAAAGCAATTATTTTTTTAAAAGGCTAAAAGAAACCTTGCTTAATGGTTTGTATTTTGGACATCTCTAAGCAGCTAAAAATATAACAAAATATCCAAGAATTCAAGTACCACACCAATAGTTTAAATAGCTAAAATAACTGAACTCATCTTCTACGATCTTCTAAACATGTCTTCTTTTAGCAAAAGCATTATGAATTCTGGAAATAACTTATATTTAAATATTTCCTAGTATAATTTTATCTAGAAAATCACACAGCGATTTTGCCTGCAGCTCAGACCCAGCTCCCTGAATTTAGGGACCAGAAGCTCAGCTGCTGTCCTGCCGGCCACCCCTCACTGAAACCTCGCTTACTGGGTGGTCAGGTGGGTGGGGTCCTGCAAGGGGCCCACCACAACCAGCTTCTTTGGACTGCAATTTGAAACTAAACAGAAGAGACCACCACAAGTCCCAGGCCTAAATTACTGTGAAACTTACTTGAATTGAGTGTTTGCCTTGTTTTGGCGCTGGTGCAGTAAGCCTCGATGACTTTCAGAATCTGAGCATCTTCTTCCAAAGCAGCTGTGCCTGTCGAGACACACACAGCAGGTCAGCATCAAACTAGAAGGCCTCTAGTGCAACCAGCGTGACGAACGCAGACATCAACTCATCCAAAGTGAAAAGAATCCGCCCTTTATTTTCTTGTCAGATAACTGTTTTCTAAATATTTACAAAAGTCATATTTAAAAAGGTTTTCAATTTTTAAAAAATATTTTATCGGCAACGCATTTGGAAAAGGCATCCTAACTTTATGACTGTCCTACCAACCCCTAAGAAAATTAGCATCCCTACTCCCAAACTGGGAAAGGGGCAGGAGGTAAGAATAATCAAGTCACAAAACAAAGAGTTGTAGGAAAACATGTCCAATCTCACTGAAACAAGAAATGAAAATTACAACGTTTTCATGTTTCCACATGCCAGTCAGACAAAAAAACAAACAGCCAACAACTCTCAGTGTCATGAGGGCATCTCTGCCTGTCTGTTCCCAACAAGGCAGCCCGCGGTCTTGTGAAAACCCGGGTCCCATCACCCTCTTTAGCCTGTCTGTTCCCCAGACGGCAGCCTGCAGTCCTGTGAAAACCCAGGTCCCAACATCTACACGGTCTGTTCCTCAGACGGCAGCCCCTGGTCCTGTTAAAACCCAGGTCCTGTCATCTCTGCAGAACCACACTCTGGCTGCCTGTTGCTCAGGGTGCCATGTCACCTCCCGCTCTGCCAGGGGAGCTCCGGCCCATAGACCATGCTGTTCCTTGAGCATAGTCTGGCGTCCTGCCCAAGGTCTCTGTGACCAGGCCTGGAGAGCTCCTCCCCAGACACCTGCTTGGCCTCCTTCCTCAGCCCAGGAGGCAGCTTACATGGAGCCCTGGCACCAAGTCCCCCCTGCCCTCCCCACTGGGTGTCTGTGTCACTCCACAGCCCAGCACACACACTACTGTTCACTCGTTTTGTGTCTTGTCTGCAACCTTCTACTAAAATGTGGCTCTACAAAAACAGGGAGCTCTTTCGGCCACACCTTGTCTCTTGCACCCAGCCCACGAAGGTGCTGGCTGACAAAGCACACGCCCATGAATGAGAGTCTCAGCTGCAGCCAGCCCCATGCCCAGCTCAGTGCTGCCCCTGGACCTGCTGAAAGAAGGGACCCACAGAACAGCCTCTCACAGAAGCCGTGGCACAGCCAGTGAACAGTAGAGTAGGTGGCCAGCACCAGCTCCAGTTCTAACACTAGACCCAGGGCTTCACTATCTCATGAAGGATCTGGGCTACCTGAAGAGAAGGACAGTCAGGATGGTGACTTACACTGCCATGGACATCAGGTGACAAGGACAAGAAAAGAATAAACAGTCCAGCTCAGTCATCTCACAGGGCTGACTGATGAGAGGGGAGTGACGAAGGCCAGCGGCGGCACGGCACAGTGTGTGTGTGTGTCAAATAGCTGCTGGGCCCCATCTTGAGGCTGGGGGAGGTGAGCAGTGAAGGCACAGGAGCAGCACAGGCCGAGCTCAAGACGCAGGGGCGAGACAGGGCAGAGCCCTGGAGGACAGACCCTGCAACTTCCCCAGGGCTGGCTCACCCTCTCCAGGCTGCACCTATCAGTCCACAGCAATCTGTTCAGGTGCACCTCTTCCCAGCAGTCACCCCAAGGAAAATCACTTGCTTCTGAAAAGAGCTCCACTTATTCAAATGCTATCTACTGAGTACCTAATAGGTGCCAGGTGCTTGCTGAGAGGCCACGTAGGAACCCAGAGCTGAGTCAGACGCCTAGCCCTGAGGCGCAGACAGGACGGGTGCACATGTACGTCCAACAGCAGAGAGACCAGTAACAGCAAGAGAACAGCGCGGTGAGGGCAACGCACACAGCAGGTCACGCTTCTAACGGACGGAGTGTGCTTTGGAGATGATGTCACTTGAGGAAGTGTGGGTGGAATATCTTTCGGGCAAGAGGGAGATCCGGAAGAGCAGGAGAGCCCTCCAGGTCTGGCCCCCACACTAGATGAGGCCAGGGCTGTGAGGCAGTGGTGCTGGGACTGACAGAGGCTTCGTCACTGACACAGAGGCACTTCTCCTACTTGCTTGGGTAAACGCTACCCAGCTTATTCCTATCAGTGCCTCAAGAGGCAGACCCGACTTTTGTTTAGTCTTCAGAAAGCCACCAATGCCTCCCTCTATTCCTTGAATGCCATGGCCTGTGCGACCAGCAGGCCACGTCCTCCTGCACACGGACCACAGGCACTCACTTTTCCGCGACGCAAACTCTTCATCCGAGGGCTTCCGTTCAGGTTTGCGCTTGGGCAGCAGCTTCTTCATGGTCTTGGGACTCTTACTAAGATCCTAGGGAGACAGAAAAGAAAATGCTGACGTACTGCAATCATTTTCACTCGCGAATCAGAAAGGCTGTTGTAAAGGTATAACACCCCAAATTATTACAGCCACTGATAAGAGCTTCTCGCTTTTTCCTACTCTGATTTTTCTTTACCAGCTTCTGAATATTAATTTTAAAATCAATAGGGCATTTTCAGTATTAGTCACTGGCTAATATATTTTCTTCAATCTGATAAAACCCCTGGTGCCATTTGGGTCCTCTTAGTTCTGTGACTGGAAGTGTCACCGGGAGGCAGCTGGCCGTGGTGGTGTGCACGGACACCCTGCACACTCCTGAGGGAGGAGGGGCAGCCACTCCCTGGGGGAGACCCACCCACTCCCCATACAGTTAACTGGAAAGAGGGGAGGAGACTAAAGTTATCATTAAATGATAGATAAGCAAAAAATAATTGCTTTAAAAAATATTTGAAGTCTCAGAGAGAAGAAAAGAGAGCAAGTGCTCAGCTACCTGGCTCTGAGGGCCGGGAGCACAGCCGAGCTCGGCCAGGGCTGCTCTGCAGGGCCCACAGGGACACAGCTCAGGGGGGGTTCAAAACAGAATGGCCCACCCCTCACCTCCTCTTCAAACAGCTTCTCAAAAAAGCACAGAAGACGACAGCAAAAAACAAAGTGAACTAAAAGCCAAGTCCAGCAGAGCAGGAAGGTGTCCAGTGTCAGTCATGTGTTAAACACCAGTATCAAAAGGCTGGTTTCTGCATCACCCCAATGACATGATCTTCACGAATGTCAACATGCGAAACCAAGACTCGGAAGTAAGCTGTGCTATGGAGTGAACCAGGCTGCAACCAGAGCAGACAAAGCTGCGTTTTTAAAGTCATCTTTAAAAGTCTTTTCTTGGGCACTAACCAATGGGTACACACTGACACAACCATGGAAATGACAGACCCTGGGGACTCCAACAGCAGGAGGGTGATGGGGGCGAGTCTGGAAAAACTACCCACTGGGTACCATGTTTCCTCTTTGGGTAATAGGTACCCTAGAAGCCCAAACCCCAGCACCATCCAATACAGCCATGTCACAAACTCTGAAAAAATGATGTTTAAAAACAAAAATTTTCCTATAAAAATAAAAATTTCAAAGCTCTTAGAAATGCAGCAGCAATCCGTTCCAGAAGAAACATTGATACACGTGCTCCCTGGCTTCCCTAATTCAAAGCAAATTGAGATGAAGAGCCCTAAAGAGCCAATGACCACCCAACACGTGCTCCAAGGACACCTTCAGGCACAGAGGGTCACACAGCACACAGCACACCCAAGCCCAGAGCCAGGCAGGGCAGGCGGCAGAGCGGCCTCCACGACTCTCCACGTCCTCTTCCCACGCTCTGCAGGATCACTCTCCACACCAATGCTGTGCGGTGCTCAGCAACACTAGACAGCGGCTACCTGGTGTGAGCCCTTCTCTCCCAGCGTGGAGCTGGCAAAGCAAGTGCAGCCAGATTTGGCAAAACCAAAATGTTTATCTTCACTTCAATACCCCTTCCCTTGCCCTGTCTACTTCTCTCCCAATCTTTTCTAGTAATTCAATCTCCACCAGTTCTTGCAATAGTTCCCTTTTTCTTTAGACTGTGCATACTAAAGTATATAAGGAACACCAGCATTCTTCAAGTAACTTCGCATGATAGAAAAAATTCTGACTTGCACACACGACTACCTGCAAGGTATCATAAAAACGTGACTCAGTAAGAACAAAAAGTGCAAAGCACTGATCGTGGGTTCTTACAGAGTATTTTTCTACGGACCTTAAAACCCTCAAGGCTGCTGGCAAGAATGTAGAAAAGGTCTGCTCCAGCTTCCCTGGCAAATGTGGCCTTGATCAGATAGAGGCACAATGCCAGGCAAGAGTGCGTCACCACCCTCACGCTCACACCCACCAATGACACTGCTGCTCACATTCACAGGCATGATACCCTTACCCTCCTCACAGCCACTCCTTATACCTCACCAGTGAACACACTCAACTGCTTATGAAAACAAGACTCATCTCAATTATCAGCTTCCTCAGGTGAAAATACTTCTCACAACACACTTCTCAAGATACTTCCTTTCCTCATCCAAACTGGTTTAGGTCAAAGTGTAAGAACCTGTTAATACTTATATTTAGTCATTAGAATTGCACTTTGCACCTAGCATATAAAAAATGCTGGCTCAGAAGGGAGATGAGCAAAGACTGCATCACGATTTCTTACACATCGAAGCAGGGAACTGCCTTAAGTAACTGTTTCATTTGTATTGGTAAGTGCTCTCTTCATCTCAAATGGTACTGGGTGACAGGACAGGATCCCCAACCTAGAGGAGGAGTTGTTAGACACAACAGACAGCATGCAGGTGCAGAGCAGCGGCCTCACGCATGGAGGGAAAGCCACCTAGAAATCAGCCCCTTTCCAGCTCCTGGCCCCCAGGGGTACAGTCCTCTGGCAAGCACAGGAAAGGCCCTTCTCTGCATGGCACAGAAAGAAGGGGGCGCTGCACACACTCTTCCCACACAGGGTAATCACGGGTCTCAAACCAGCAGAACAGATACCCAGGGAACCGAGACAGGAAGGGGCGCTACACACCCTTCCCTCACAGGGTAACCATGGGCCTCCCAGCAGCAGAGCAGATAACCAGGGAACCCAGGCAGACCCCCTTCTCCATTCTCTAGGAGTCAGGGTGCATTTTGCTGTGTACAGAAGGACCAGCCCGGCACCCCCGGGGCCCGAGGCATGCTCACCGTTGTCTGGCTGTTTGAGTGGTCAAGGGACCTCACCTCCTTGTAGCAGAGAGCAGCTGAGGGCCGGAGGGGAGGCGCAGGCCGCAGGCAGCTCAGGCTCCAAGGCTTGGGTGTTTTCGGAGGCTCCAGGGGTCCCCAGTTGATGGTGGTGTGCGGGGTGCCATGGTGGGAGGGGTGGGGGAGCGTGTGGTAGGCAGGCGTCAGCGGCGCGGGCTTGCTGTCTGCATGCTTGCTGGACGGAGTGACCGGGTGGGAGGGGAGCTGCCGAGGCACAGAGCGGGAAGAAACTCATGTGCTCACTGTGAAAGTGCAGTTATCACGCACTTCCTTCCATTCTTAAACACTCCATGTGAAATAAACCCCAGGATTAATCATTTCATTTGAATCTCTGACTCTCAGCAGTCAGATTTTGGAGCTAAACACCACCTCGCGCCACCTGGGCTGAGCGTGGAGCTCCCCATGGCGTCTGCTCCAGGCAGGAGGGGCAGCTCAAGCTGGGGCTCCACCACTCAGGCATCCACTAGCCACATTAATTGGCTATGCAGTAACATTTATTAATAGAAAAAAGCTACTTCATCTAGTACAAAGATTAGAATTTAAAAAATAACACAGGACGTGGCTGTAAGAAGGAAGGTGATTCTCCCCAGCCACGTATTATTCTTCACCTTGTGATAAAGGACTGGGCAAAACTAAGGCCTGATCACCTACTTTTTTTAAAAAAAGTTTTCCTGGCACACAAGCAGGCCCGTTCCTGTCTATAGCTGCTTTTCTGTCCCAAGGGCAAAGTACAGTGGCAAGAGACCTGAACCTGTAAAGCAGAGAATGTTTACCACCACCTGGCTCTTTAACTGCCAACCCCTGGTATAAAACAAGCTATCTTCTTAGAAAACTCAACTTTAATCAAATCAAAGTTAATCAAAAATTAACTTCTTAGAGGGCTGTGCTATTAATAAATTTTATATTCCTGGAAAACGCAAAATATCCCATCACAATGGCAGTTAAATGAGGAAAGTTAAATAAAATAAGTAATTCTCACAATCAGCTAATGACCTCAAATTAGCCAATAACAGTAAAGGCAAATTTAATGGGAGAATGAGCTGCATGGCGCTGTGAACTGGAGACCTGAGTGGGGTCAGCCTTCTGAAGACACGCACGACATTAACACAGGCTGAGAGGGCAGGTCCCGCAGGAGTGGACGCAGTCAACTGACTACGAGGATCCCATTCTAGTCCCTGCATGGGGAGGGACGTGTGTTAAGATGGAGGCCATGCTAGGAAGCCATGGCAAGGTAATCTTTCCATAGGAAATAAAGCATAGATGGACTGAAAGACGTCGTCAGAGTTAAGTAATGTCTGGTTTTGTTTCTCCTTTTCTCGAAAGAAAATCAAAGGAGGTATACTTTATGCTAAAATTAGAATATGATTTCAGGTGGACAGAGTTGGATTACAGAAGAGTACGTCATCCCACAAAAGAAACTTGGTGGGAGAACTGTAAGGCACGTGCATTCCACACTGAAGGGGTGCCTTCCCAGCCACCAGTGAAAGAAACACTAAGACAGAGGATCTGGCCACAGAGAAAAGCTGACTTGATATAAAACTTTAAGAAGTCGACTTTCAGGCTGCTGTTGAAAACCTGAGTGAAGCAGCTCATCCCCACTGTTCTTTATAAACACGTGTGTACACAGGCATCCGTGGGATAAACTGATCTCCATGAAAGAATGGAGAATTTTAAAATGGCAGAGCCATTAAAAATGAAATGCTAGCTGAAAGCCAGTGAGCAGCTATAATCTCCATACTGTGGAGAGAAATCAGATGGACTATGAAACTCTAATGAGAATATCAGAATACAGCAACCCTTCTTGAGCTATACAACCTTAACATGAAGAATAAAACGTGGAAAGTGAGCCACATGACAGAACTGAACCTAACAACCTAATAAGGACGCAAGGACATCTGCAAGCTGAAAGTGTCATCATAATTCATTCTTTGAAAGTTCTGCCCAGTTTTTCGGTATTACTCGATAAAGATGACAGCTGTTAACCCAGTACCAGCTTCTCAAGCACAAAACACCAGGAGAGGTTTAGACACTGCAACTTCAGTGCTTATCTATTCTGAAAAGTGGTAATTCTCTAAAAATACAAAGAGTTGTTGAGCCTTTCTAAGTATAAGATACCTCAATTTCTTAAAACCAAAACAGTGTGTCATAAATTCTATTTTAATGCCTTCAACATGAATTTGGCCCTTATCATCATCAATCATTTATTTTTCTCTCTCATAAATGAAGCATGATAAACAGTTAAAATTCTCAGCAAAATCATCTATAGTTTCGTGTAAAACTCCCCTAAATGAGTCTTCCAGGGCCACGCTGAGCAGAAGCAGCTTCCCACCCAAGCGCCTCTGAACTGTGTGTGAGGAAGCAAAACTCTGGGCGGTTTCTCAAGAACACTCACTGGGAAACAATTCACTACAAGCCCGAAGAGGACCAAATATTTGCAGAGAAATATGAAGCAAGTGTTTTGCCTTTTTTTAATCCAAATACTGATTAGGTTTTAAAGCACTTGATCACTTGCTGACAGCTCAGCCACGGTGCCACCGTTTGGAGTCTAGAAGGAGAAAAAGCGCTAAGTCCTTACGGTGTGAGATGGCACCGAATGTGGCTTGATGGTGGGGTTTCCCACGGACGTGACTTTTGTTTGCTTCTGTAGGTGGTCCACCCATTCCTGCAGATCCTGCTGGTTGTTGCAGGACACTAATATCCGCTCAATCATGCTCCCTAGAAGACAGAAGGAAAAAAACAGGCCGAGTGGAAACACAGGTAAAAAGCGCGTGCATGCACACACACACCCCCGAATTCCACTCAGCCCTTCAACACCACCTCCTGAAATACGCAAGCAAGAATGTGCACGCGGGACAAGCTGCCTCTCCTCCCCGCGACACAGCACTCACACAGCTTGTGCCTATCACCTGATATTTCAAATGCGTTTCTATGATTTTCACTGTCCTCAAGCTTTGTGATTGTCATTCCTGTCGTTGGAAGCTTTCCCTAAAAAAGACCCCCCCACACAAAAAAAAAAACAATTAGTGCTTTTCTAGAAAAAGGTACCATTATTAAGGTAAATACTAAATGATTTTAGAACTGGCAGAGGAACTGTGTTTGTGAACCAAAAAAAGCTCATTTATAGCAGATATATGCATAATACAAAAATCTTTATCTCAAATAATAAATCCTAATACTGTACTGTAATTGAGAAACTCAACTGGCGGCATCTGATGAGCTGCTGCTAAACACAGGTACCAGGACACAAAACATTACACATTATGATTTTTAAAAATTACCATGCCTAACAGTTGTTTTAAATGACATTTTTGCAGGAAAGAAGCATGTATTTGCCTCATAAAGAAATGCAGAGGAAGCTCCAAGTTTAAAGTCAAAATAAGGGTGGGAAATTGAGGCAAGAACACTAATTGCATAACATTCTCCTTTGTAATCCACCAAACAGAAAATAAGCAGTTGTGCTAAATGCTGCACACAGTGCAGAAAATGGGTGGCAACCCAATCCTCCCTGAACACGGCAGAAATTGTAACTGCAACAGGAGATGTCAATGCAGAGACATTGGAAGGGGAACAAACAGTCATTACCAACAAGGCAGAAGTGAACACAAAACCCGTGGCACAGCTCATAGAAGCCAACAGTGCACGGTGGCCCACCAAATCCTCAGGGAGAGTCCGTGCTGCCTGGGAGCACTCAGTCAGCTTCGGAGCAGGATTCTGCGTGAGCACCTCCAGAGGGAGTGCTGCTCAACCAGTATGGGGGCCATGCCCCCCAGAGAGAACAGGTGGCAGTGCCGCAACCTGGCAGGGGCTCAGATGTCCAGCAAGTAAGAGGCCAGAGAGGCTGCTGATACCCTACAGTGCCCAGGACAGTCTCCCTGAGCCCCCAGCCCTAGGCCACAAATGACCCAGTCCAAAATGTCAGCAGTGCCCAGGCGGAGAATCCCATCCTAAAGCATAGCAGGTAGAAGAGGAGACTGCTGGACATTTCTGTGGCCAAGCGTATTTCAAAAATGCTACACACTGTGAACTCCTTTCCAAGATTCATAATGCACGTAAGTACTTTAACAGCTGTGAGTCCTACGGAAAATAAAACCGCACGACTGTGGCCCATCTGAGCATCAGTGTATAGACCACTATGACTACAGCTAAATCAAACGCTTTTCTAGCATCCCCCAAAGTCAGCGTTCTAATAGTAGAAATGGATACTGATGATACAGAGACCACAGGTCACCACTGTGTTGAGAATGGAAAATAAAATCCAGTTTTGAGATGAGGTCTCCAACAGCCTGTCAACACAACAAGGGAAAAGCCAGTGTGAGCCCCAGCTTCACAGGCAGGGACTCAAGCTTGCCATGAGTGGTACCTCTTCTCCCTTAGGTTAGAGAAGGCCACTGTCTCCAGCCACTAAAATGAGATTCTGGGGATATAAAACAGGGAGCCAGACAGTGCTGACCAGAAAGGACAGAGATTTAGGGTTATCAAGGTCACTGAACAAAGAAGTAGTTCCCAGTTTGGGGGAAAACTCTAGTGGGCACTATCTCAGCCACAGATCACCTCTCTTCAGCAGTGACCTTACAAACTACAGCCTTATTTTCCTGAGTCTGTTCCTATATCTATAACTCACCAATTCTAAAGCACGCGTTTTGGAGTAAGCATATGACAACAAGTCCTCTCTGGGAGGTCGACAAAGCCTCTGTGAAGGCACAGTGTCTACTCAGGTTCTCTAACGTCCCTGCTGGGACAACACAAAACAACACATGCCATAATGAAACACAACCCAGAGAACACGAAGCAGTGACTTCTGCTGCAGTGGTTATGGGGTGACTGGCCAGTCCTCAGAAAGGTGATGGGAAGGATAGGAACCTCTGTAACGTCACAGAAAAAAAAGAATGAAACCTGCCAAGCACATCTACTAGATATACAGAAAAAAATACCAGCTCCTTCATATATCACCCACTATAAACCACCGTCACAACAGAAAAGGCCTTGCTCACCCTCGCACCTCCTTCTCAAATCCGCTCTCACGTTTTCTCAAAGCAAAGCAGGAAAACAAAAATGAAAACAGTTAAATGATCACACATGCTACTTACATCACTTCTATTTGCTCATGCATTTGGGCAGCACTGTGCCACTGACAGAAGATCTCATCCTACACTACCCCACCCCTCTACCCCATAAGCCCTAGCTGAACCCATTTCACAGAACAAAACTACAGCTGGGAGGAGCAAGGTACTCTGCCTGAATTGACATTAGGCAACGACAGAGCCTGACTTGTACCACGGCAGTCTGTGCCCTTATGAGGCTGCTCTACAAATTTACACTTCTTTCCTTTTTTAAACTAGCATAGGATGTGCTTGCATAGTTACAAAACGCACAGAAGCTGTACATCCATCTCTGAATATACAGCACTACACACACAGCACATACACAGATAGATAAATGTTAATATTTAACACAAAATTCAAAGCCAGCTTGAAATTACCCTCAGATCCACAATACACAACGAAATATAACTTTAAATTGTGTTTTACCTGATAGATAAAGCCACTCATCCTAGGACTGGCAGACAACATTAGCAAAACATGTGGGAAGAGTAGAAGATATCTTTCATTCTTTTCCTAATACAAAAAAAAAAATCCAAAAAATTTCTTAAAAAACATCTACTGACAAATGTGAACACAAATACTTATTTATCCTAGGCCCTATGAAATATTACATGATTTTCTTGTCTAGGTATTTCTATCAAATTTTATCACGTAAATTAAATGGTAACAAAATTATGATAAATTCTGTACTAAGTCTTAAAATATGATTAAGAGAGCTTTATCATATAAGAGAAAGATTTCTAAATTCTTCAAAAACCAAAAGGTAAGAAAGTAAACAGAATGATTAAAAGATCCTGGACTCACAATTAGCCTGTGTAACATCTTGAAAAAATATTTGGTTAAGGAGTTCAGCTCTGTGATTAACCTTTTTCAGGTAAGCTAAAATTTTCTTTTTGTGGTTCAGAGAAAAAGGAGAGAACCTATAAATTTTAGTGGGGTCGGGGGAATAGGTGGAGCCTTTAAGCTAAAGAAAGGGTATGGTAAAATGTGAAAATCAATTTCGGTCTCCTAGTAATCCCCACAACTTCCCCAGACCTCCCAATGTTAACTCAGTGTTGTTCTCACCCCACAAACTTCACCTGGTTACACAAACACTTACAAGTATTACTTTTGTATTAAAAACCATTGCCTCAGTAAGATAAAAGCCAAAGACAAAAGTTCCTAAGAATCCAAAAACAGACACAGAAATGCCACAGTCCTTTTCACATGTTGACATTTAAACTACTGCCCCAAAAGTGAGATAAGCCCTGGGAAGCAGTTTGCCCAAGCATATTCCTCAGAACAGCAGGCCTGTGCAAAGCACCTGGAAAAGACGCTTCCACACCTGAAAGGGGTCATTGAGAATGACTTGCTGTATTCCCCTCTAGAAGAGTCACAACATACACTGGGAACACACAGAGCCAAGTGTGAGAAGCTCCGTCATCAAGAATCTTTACCACTGATTACGTTCAGTCATGATCAGAACCACTCAAGCACTGTGGAGTAACACCCACTAATGTTGTGTACATCTAACATTACAAACACACTTTGGGTAATGTTTCCACAGATTATTTTAAAGTTTAAAAGAGCTTGATATAAAAAGAGCTGAAGAGATCTGAGGTTTATATGATCAGTTTCTTAAGGTACCCAAACTACAAGACTATGGAGAAGGGCTGGTATTTCACAGATGGACAGGAAAACACACTGTAAAAGTTTTAAGTTTTAGTTTTCTTATTCTCCTTAGAGTCTTGTGTTCAAAAAGGAGTCATTTAGCACATTACAATCATGTGATTTCTGCAAAAGTAGAATAAAATTCAGAGGTGCCTGTTTAGTGACCCACTGAATGTGCGTCTATGTGAATCATGAAACAAACTGCTTGATTTTCACTGTGTGGGTGGGTATGTCACAAAATCTGGGTTGATCTCTCATTAAACCAAACCCATAAGAACACTGTGACTCCCATAGCATATGTCAGCTAACATTCTTTCACAGGAAAGGAGAATGACCCGACCATTGAGAGCAGCCGGCCCCAGAGAGTGAGAGCCTTGGGATGAAGCTGTTGGCCAGATAAGCACATACAGCTCCGGTGCAGATGTGTGTACAGGACTCCTGCAAGTCTTTCTGTACATTATCCTTCCGTCCACACGGGCTTTGGGCCACACTCACCTCAGCTGGATCTAACTGGTCAGCAAGTCCGCACTTAGCTCTAAGACTCTCTAACATGCCATTAGCCTCTTTCATGTGTCAAAAATAAAAAGTAGCTCACAAATTATAAGATAGAGCCTTCTAGCAGAAGGTTTTCATTGCTTGAGATTTCTTTAAAATCTTCTGCTACGAGATCCTACGAGTGGGACAGAAGCCCCGATGCATGTGTGCGTGGACGGCAGTACCTCGCTTCCCGCACACTGAATCAGGACCTGGGACATGTACGTGACGTTGCCCAGAGTTTTAATGTCATCGCCCTCCCAGTTCCGGATGGCTTCCGTCAGAATCTGCAGCTCAAGCTCTTTCCTTTTCCTGACTTCTTGACACTGGGCCTGACAGACACAGAACAACAATGTTAAAAGACAAACTTCCAGAATCTTAGGTTCTGGCCACACTGCTTTGTATCATCCTTAAGACAATTATTGCTTTATATCTTACTTCTTCGGATAGATAATCTATTGAACCATTTGCTTAAAGTATGAAATCAAGTCAAGAGAAGCAATGACACACTGCTCTGGAATAGTAAGTATTAGTTTAGAAAAACTAGAGCAGATTTTGACACTTGTATGAAGAAGAAATGTGGACAGGACAAGAATTGTGTTTTCATTCTGGTTTTGTTAGTGTTTGCCAATATAGAAGACTGAAAAGAGGAAACAAAAAGTGTAACTTGTGCTATTAAATAAGGTGTCTACTTCAAAACTGCAGTTGGTAAGACCGCACAACAGCAGACACAATGGAACCACCGCTGTTCTGTTTTGCAGTAGTCACTAAAGACAACATGAATGGAAGCTAAAAAAATGTTCTAAGTAATTTTAAAGTAGATCTAACATCAATTACACTGCGCTTTTAAAAAATGTAAATAATTATTCTATCACAGTCCACTAAAGGAGTTGAGCAGCCACAGAATGCCGACTGTTTTTCCTTCATGTCAGTACAAGACATTTTTTAATCATTTGACTTTTTCAGTTGATAATTCTTTTACATTCATTTTCCACAATAATGTCTGGGGGGAAAAACAATATGCTTAATCACTTACTGAAAGGTTTTTGAAGGCAGTCATAGATTTTTGAATATCTTGTCTATCTGTATGATAATCCTTTGAGTAAAAGAAACATACAATTAGCTTTCACAAGGAAAAGCTTTTCTTAAAAAGGTACTTTCTAAAGACCAGCCTAATACTTTTCAACCCTTCACATTCCCTCTCTTCCCTCAGCATTAAAGTGTCAGTCTTTCAGAAAGTCAGGAAGCCACTGGACTTAGGGGAAACATAAGTTGAAACAGAATAGTCACAAGCAGCAGGGGTGGGCAAGCCAACGCTGGCTTCGTCACGAAGCCCTCCTGGAACACCGCAACGGCCCACGTGCAGTATTCCAGCTGCTTTTGCACTAGAACGGCAGAGCTGTGTAGCTGTGATGAAGACCCTAGAGTCTGCCTCCTTATGGAAAAGGTTTGCCAACCCAAGCAAGAGAGTAACTTCTACCCAAATGTCTGCTAGGCTGCAGCCTGTCATTCAAAATGAAAGAGCACAATCATTCATGAAACGATTAGTACAGCGTTACCCTATAACTTAGGCACAGATTGTCTGTAGCTGGATGGTCCAAGTAAGACATCTTAACACTATCTGAGAATCAGTTCTCATGTGACAGCTTTTGGAAACTTTTCCATCAGCAGCAGTGGGTAAAAGAGACAAGGGGTAAATGTTTTTTAACAGAGCTGAGTAATGAGACAAACATAATATTTGACAAAATCATTTTGACAATCCACTGAGTTAAAACTCTGTAAACTCTGTTAGTTCTGGCTTCTTTCGCAGTAAGTCTGACCAGGCACTAACCCTTGTTAAGGACTCTGAGGAAGAGAACGAAAGCGCAGTACCTCCATGTGTCTCTCCAGCTCTTTGAGCAGTGTAGGGTATTTATCCAGGCGCATGAAGGGTTTGCTCAGTCCTGTGGTCAGCACAAGAATCCCAGGGCTGCTGGCACCTTTGGTCTCCATGAACTCCCCCAACTCCTCACTGCGCAGCAAGTGGCAAGAGAGAAGACGTGGTTAGTAATGAGAGACCACGGTGGCTCTCTGATCTCCATGAGCAACAGCCAGGATTTATGCAAGAGGAATGTTGCTTTTAACATCAGGAAGACTCCAGCTTTTATCCCAAATCTGCACTGCTTATCTGGAAATGCCAAATGGGACTCCCACCACCCGAGGGGTCCCGCTGCTGCTCTCCAATGAGCGACAGTAACTGTGCACAGCACAGGATGTATGGGTCTCCGTGAGATCCTTCTGAAGGTGAGGCCCTCTGACACTTCAGTGCCATGCAGATGTGCCCAATGGAAACGTGCACTCAGCCGGCCTCTTCACTCTCTGGGCAGCCCTGGGGCGGAGGCACAAAGACCCTCCTGACTAAAAACCCACCTGTATTCTGTCTTCTGGTTACTTCAGGAAAACACTGCATGTACATTTAAGACCCAACAAACACAGTCATTAATGTAATGACAGAGAAGAGGTTAAATGCAGCACTCGCCCACATGCACTGCTCTTGAATGCCTTCGAGTTCTAGGAAACTAACAGTCTCAGTGACTTTCAATGTCATCTTTAGGACGGCTCCTCAATTTTGGGAGGAAAATACTGAGTTAAGACTCTCTTCCCCCCAAAACTGTCCGTCCTACCCTCTATCTATATTCCCTCCCCTGTCATCCAGGGTCAACTCCTCTCCCCCAGCAAAGGGGTGGGGTAAAAAAAATAAGCTTTCTAATGTAACCCTCACATTCCACTTACTTTCTGCTCATCTTCCTCATCACTCCACCAATAATTCCTGCAGAATTCCCAGAGATAAAATGTAACACTTGCATCGCACTTTTGTGGAAATCTCATTTGATGCATAAATCCCCAGGAGTGGAGTGGAGGGGACAGCACGTGACTGAAAGCATGCTGGGTGCTTAGAGACACTGCTGACACTGCTGACACAGCCCACACTCCCAAGTAGGACCTCACCGAGGGAGGGTTTCTTTGGGTTCTCCTTTTCTGTGGCTGCTGGGAGTTCTAACTTCCTGTCCTTTCACTGCTTTGTTAAAGGCTGCTGCTTCCTTCCAGGGCTTCAGAGGCTTTAATAACAAATAGAAGTTCACAAAATCTTAACCCTTTACTACTGGAGCACACCCAGAACACAGTAACGATCCAAGGTCGTCTTTATTTTTTTAAACAATGGAAGAGAACAAAACATCCACTGAACATGTAGCGTGTTCACCCTGACAAGATCTGCTGACAGTTTTTCTGAATGCTGGTAATATCCCTGTGAATGAGTTCTTTCAGGAAAGGACGCTGAAACCCAGAGACAGGAGGAAGCCTGCCCACGGCTGCACAGCCTGCAGCCGCAGTCACAGCCAGAGCCAAGTACACCCTGCTACCAGGTCTCGTCTGTTGTAGGACACCCACGCAGGGCCAAACCTGAGCCCCAAATGTGCTTCTCAAGAGGAGAGGAACACCTGGCTCACTGAAGAGGTTTTCTAAGTTCTGAGTTGAAATGTTTGGTGAAGAGTAAGCTGAAGTTAAATATTTAAGTTAGAAAGACAATGACATTTATCTTGATACTACTAAAACAATACTTTTTCCATTTACAGTTTTGAAAACGTGAACTTCTATTTTCAAAAGAAATTATGAAATTTTTTTATAAAACATTAATATAGTTCTTTGGCCTCTTTTAGAAGCAGAAAGTGAGCCTCTGAGCTAAGACCACATGTGGTCTCCTCCAAGCCAATCCTCAAACAAATAATTAGAGCAAATTCTCAAACAAATCTTAACACTCTCTAAGGACCGAGCTCCTCCTCAATAACTGAAACAGCTGAGAAACATCTTCCTCCCATTCGCAGGAAGCAGACATTGCTGTGTCTCATAAAATTAGCAAAACAATCTGGACAGTCTCTGTTGCACTTGTTTTTTTAGTTTCAGGTTGAAAAGCTAAAGCTAATGGTCTCCGATTTAATGTTTTGTATATAAAACCTGATCCTAATTTAAAATTTGATCCCTTCTTTTACAGCTGATGTAATTTGAGCTCGTATAATTCCACTTTTAAGAACTGAGAGAAATACGATTCCAGGACCCTTAACTAAGCTTGTAGCGACACCCCTCAACACTTACCAACTCCTTCAACCTATTAGCCAAAGAGCTCCACGCGGTGGGGGAAACATCTCTTTTTACAACAATACTAACCATCATTTCAAAGACTTCTCACCAGTACTTCTTAAGCACGAATTTTGAGGGGTAATTAAAATTCATATCCTCGCACCCTATGAAGGACACATAGGGCCTGCCTTCCCTACTGCCCAGGTGCCTAGTGAGCGAACCTGTGTTCCGTGAGGACGTTCACTGCAGAAGGGTGATTGGCACAATACGTGAGGTACAGGGTTTTCATCTGTGGCATCAGGTTTAAAAAGCAGCCTCCGACTCTCTGCTGAGCTTCAGGCAACCTGGGGAAATGCGACACAAAGGGAAATCGTCATCGGTTTTTTATTTTTTTTATTTTTTTTAATTTTTTTGAGACGGAGTTTCGCTTGTTACCCAGGCTGGAGTGCAATGGCACGATCTCGGCTCACCACAACCTCCGCCTCCTGGGTTCAGGCAATTCTCCTGCCTCAGCCTCCTGAGTAGCTGGGATTACAGGCACGCGCCACCACATCCAGCTAATTTTTTGTATTTTTAGTAGAGACGGGGTTTCACCATGTTGACAGGATGGTCTTGATCTCTTGACCTTGTGATCCACCCGCCTCGGCCTCCCAAAGTGCTGGGATTACAGGCGTGAGCCACTGCACCCGGCCCCGTCATCAGTTTTACAGACAAAAGGACAACTGCTAATGACAAACATAGCATACCTCTGAGTGAGGAAAACCTTCCTCTGCACCCTATCCGTGAAAACAAGATGCCCTGATCCCAGCATACACGTATTGCTGCCTTGAGTCCAACAGAGAAGGGGCGCCCAGCAAGCAGCTCTGCTGCCAGGTCCTCTCTTGCAGCGTCCAGACTGCCAGGACTGCGCACTGCATCAGGACCAAACTCAGGCCTAAGCTCTTTGGGCAGTGAGACAAACAGATGTCACAAAGCCTTCAGTTTTGCATCAATAAGGAGAATTGTTGAATGTGGTTATTTGGTCTGCAAGTTTTCTACCAAAGTAGCATCAAAACTAACAAAAAATACAAAAACTGCATTTCCCTTCAGGTTAGAGACTGAAAACCCAGCCCACCTAGCAGGTGCCTCTCCTCCCTGGATCCACACCATCCTGACAGTTAACAGGCTTTTCCAAAAAGCATAAACTCAAGAGAACAAAAAGAATGAGGAAGAGATGAGCAGAAGGAGCAATGGAAGCTGCAAAACAGATATGAAGGGTGGCAAGTTGGCACAAGCTGCATCAGGGCGCTGGGCAATGCCGCCTCAGCAGGGGTTTATGCCTAGCAGGGTACTACATGCTCACCTCTCCAGACCTCAGGGTTTCTGGGGTGAGGACACCAGCAGCAACCCGGAGCAAGGGCACATGTGCTGAAAACAGGAGGCCCATGCGAACTCTTACCACCTTCCCTGCACCCCAGGGCATCTTTGCTCCCCAGACACCCACAATATTCCCAAAAGGAGCACATCCTCCTACCCAGGGAATAGGAGCCAGAAAAAAGTGACCAAAACACTAACACCATGGATTCCTCCAGAAAACAAGTCACTAGTCTCAGCTCCTGGACAGCACTTCCAAAGCATTTTCAGGCATGAAAGGACCACAAACACATTTGCCTAAAAACGGGGAGACATGAAGGAGCAAAGCGGAAAAAGGAAATATGATAGTCATTCCACATCAGAATAACAGTTCCTGATACAGAAAGCCAAAAACATAAGCAGAAGTCAAAGACACCATCACATGACTAAGCAAAAAGAGTGCAAGGCACAAGGTCAAAGGTGCCCAAGACTGTCAGCATGGGCCGAAAGCAGACCCAGGCCCCAGACAACAGTGCAGTCATTCCGAAGCCCAGAAACAAGGAAGCAAAGAGCTCTGAGTGAGAAGCACCTTTTCACACCAAGATGACAGAACAGCATGGGGCTCCTCAGTACCACAGCCTAGAGACACCGAAGCACCCCTTGAAATGAGGGGTGGAAATCCCTCCCCCTAACTGTCTCTGTCTCAGGCAACAGTGAACACTCATGTGGATTAACTGCCCAACATGCACTCACTCCTCAGGAATCTCCCAGAGCAGGTACTTAACCAAAATGACAGAGGAATGCAAAAAAAGGGAAAGACAGCAGCATCCAACACAAAGGTGGATGGAGCCCAGGACTAGGGTCCAGGCCTGCAGCTCATGGGGACACTGCTTCTGCTCTGCCATCCCCTCCGATAAGCACGTGGCCTCGGTCCACCCCTGCTGGTAACAGAACACCTCGGACTGGGTAACGTACCAACAACAGAAATGCACTGCCGGCTGGAAAACCGAAGATCAAGGCAGCTGCAGGTGGTTCCCTATGCATCCTCCCAGGGGCAAGGGGCAAAACAGCTCCCTCACAGCTGTTACAAGGGAGCTGATCCCATTCATGAGGGCTCCATCCTCACAACCTAACTGTCTCCAATCCCTACCTTTTAATACCATCCAGCTGGTGACTAAGTTTTAGAGATGATCTGGGCAACATATTCAGATCACAGCATACTCTGGCTCCCAACATGCCATTCAACCCTGCAGGCAGGACCTCAGGCCCAGAATTCCTAGTTCACCTCCCTCCCATCCAGTCTCCAGGTGTCTCCTCAGCACTGCTTTCCGCTCTGCAGCTGTGAAGTGGTGCTGGAGAAAGTCATAGTCAGGAGAATCAGCAAGTCACAAGTATTAGGAAAAATCTCATGTTCGAAACACAGAGTACTCAATTTATGCTAACTTGGTCTTCTCCCTGTTTTGCAACAATTTTTTATTCATTCCTTATTAACTATTAACCGAGGCTCAAAAAGACTGTTCCAGTTCTAATCAATGTAAGAACATTTACTGAGCCGTTACAGTACGTCCTACAGTAAGAGCTGTGGAGACAGAAAAGCACAAGGGATTGACGCTGTGAGCGTTCCGAATCCCGCCACTGCCACCTGCTCTCCTCAGACTCTCAGTCATTCCCAGTACCGTGGGCCTTCCCTTCCAAACTAGACAGATGTCAGTTTTATAAAACGTGGTCTTTGGAAAAGAGGTGAGAGTATACCTCTGCTTCTAAAATGCAGCAATAACATAGGTGCCAAATGTAGTTAATGTGAATAACACAGACAACAGAAATGAACAGAAATGTAAAATGTAGGCAATAAAAATATCCCACACAGGTTCAGGCGGCTGATCTGTGGAAGAACATAACAAATGTAAGTGCTCCCTCCACCTACCCGTCTCTTCTCTGTGCTGGGTAAAAAAAAGACCAACACCCTCCTTCAATATGTAACTTTCCATCTCTGCCTCTCTTAGCTCTCCTCTGATCTCTGTCTGAGCAAGACATGTCCCCACCCTGTGTAATGGAGGAGGCTCATAGAAGCACAACAGGTACCTGCAGGGACACGGAGTTCAGTGAGGTCTGCAACAGCCGGGACCCCGCACAACACAGGGGCCAAGGGTGAGGATGCAGAAGTCCTCCTGGCGGGGGCGGGGCAAACAGACCTCCGCACAGACGGGAAGCTGCGCCACCTGCCTTCTCTGCCATGCTTCTTTGTCCTCAAATTCAATAGCCACTAGCCACCTGCAGCTATTTCAAGAAAAGTTAATAAAATTTTAAAAAAATGAAACTTCAGTTCTTCAGTTGTGTTAACCCATTTCATGAGCTTCACAGCCCCAAGTGGCTAGAGGCTACTGACAGTCATACAGCAGATACAGCACTTCCATCAGCGCAAGCTCTGAACACTAACTCATCCAAGCCATGTTTCCAAATCCTGAATGTGTCATGATTTATTATAGAGCTTTACTGTTTAGCTGATTAAAGCACAGCTGAAGGCAAAGTAAGTTGGCGTTTGCACTGCTGCAGACCCATTTCCAACTGTGAACGGTTAAGCGGGGTTTTAACAGCCTTCAGGGATTAGCCACAGTTCTGTCTACACTTGCAGGATAGTCACTGACTCACAGATGGATTTCAACCACTGCAAGCATGCAGCACCACCACAAGGCACTGGGAGCAGATCAGAAAGAGGGTAAGAAACAGTCTCCTCCTGAAAGTGACTGCTATCATTTTGGGGAATATGAAACAAGTACAAAAGTAAACTGAATGTAAGACAATATGAGTCTCAATGACACGAGCTCCAAACTGCTGCCAGCCTACAGACAAGGCAGGACCCGCCCTTAATCCAGGTACTGGAGGCACACAGGTTTTGAGAATATGACATACTGACATCTGAGCAGGTGATGTTGATGCTCAGGGACACAGTACAGCACTGCAAGAGGCTGGCTTCTAGGATGACAGAACCCTGTGTGCCTCACTGGGAGGACTGAAGATAACTGAGTAATGATGGAAGGCCAAAGGTGGATGAACAAAAAAAGAACACTGCCAGAAATGCGGCACAGGAAAATTATCGGCTATGTGTCACCTAAAATGGGTTAAATTCTCATACTGCAGAAATACTGCTCAGTGCTGGGCCACGATGTATGCTAAGATTTCAACTCCTATCTGGTCCAGTGCCACAGCCCCGATCCATTCAGAAATGAAAATTGAGATAAACTGATTTTCATTTCTGACACTTCATTAATTATTAAAAATTAAGTCGTATTTCAGTATAGCTTATAAAGGAACAATTACTTCAATGTACAAGTGTCTTTTCCTATTTCATTCACGCCCCCCGAGCCGAGGCCCTAGATTTTTATTACCTCTTTCAGTCCCAAACCAATTCTGCAAGAATTTTGTCACTGCCACCCCAGTTTCATGGCTGATGAAGCCCTTGTAATCATTAACTCAGTAGCAGGTAAAGCTCACAGAAGTAGCTGAATCCCAGGACTTGAGCATAATGTGCCACATACACCACAGGTAACGCCGCCTAGGGACCTAAATCCGCACGACAACCAACCAAACTCACAGCAATCACCAGCACAGAGTATGAGTTCACAGTTAAAGGAGAGGATACTCGCCCTGGTTCTCTCTTGTGCTCCACAGGCTGTTCTTCAGAGTGTGATCATGTGCAGGAGGGCACCCCACGGGGGCTACATCAAGGCCATGGACAGCAGGAGGGTGCACGTGGGTCACCAGAGGTGCCACGCATCATGCCAGGTGCTTCCACCAAGCCTCCTGGCAGAAGCAAAGCCATGATCTACAGGTGTGGTGTCACACTGTGTCCATGAATGGTCCAACATCTGATGACAGCTAAAGTCACACATACTCTATTCTCTAGATCTTCACAGTAACAGCAACAGCACAAGGTAAAAGAAGGTACCCGAGGGTTTTCCCCCCCTCCTTGCCCAGAGTAAAGATGACTGGGTCTCAGCAAAAACATTTGAGA